TGTGTGTGTGTTTGTGTGTGTGTGTGTGTGTGTGTAGCATGTGCGTGTCACATGAGTTTCACACGAGCACGACACGTCATACTCGTGCTACTCCGACCAAAAGCGTCGGCACACTGTGAGCAAAAAAAGCAAGACGCGAGAGGCGATCTTTCAACGCGGCGGGGTAAAACCACTCGTGTGTCCATTTGTGGTGAGGGCAAAAACATAGGGCCGTTTTACGGTCGAAGTTGGCCAATTATGCGTTGGTGGCGAATCGGGGTGAAGGGGGGTAGGGTTGCCTCGTTTTCCGAGGGGGCATCAATCAACATATTACCACATAAATTATCAAAAACGCAAGATACGCAAAACAATCTGCCGGTATAGAAAATACCGAAGAGCACGACAAGCATTAAAAACAATTTATTGCATGCAATTGCCCAGACACATTCATCAGCCCAGCTTAGTGAGATTGCAGCTCCGGAAGAGGTACTCGGGAAAGAAACTCGACTGGCTACAGCGGGAAAAGATAGGAGCGAGGAAATGGAGGAGGGAGGAGGAGACGGAGAGAAAGAGGTGAGGGTACGAAAGAAAGGGAAGGGGGGAGGGGAGAAGGAGAGAAGGGAAAAAGGGCACGTGATGTATTCATTGAACCAAAGGGTGAAGAGAGATAGGGGTGCATCCACACGAGAGAAAGGGGGGTAGTCCATACATCCAAAAGCGACCAGAGATCACACCGCGTAGCTTCTTAAGAACAAAATACATTGCCCACCTCTTTCCTTTGCTGTCAAACATTCATGTGGTTCCAAAAAAAGGGGAACGGGAGATAGAGAGAGGGGAGGGGAAGGGGGGAGGGGAAGGGGGGAAGGGTTACATCCCGCTTCAGCTCTATCCTCCAGATCCAGCGCGTCCTGCATCCGCGTGGATCATCTCGCCGAATTGCGGGAAGGGCGTGGCAATTCCCTAAAGCGCTTTTCTGCCCCATGCCATGTGGGGTGTCATCGCAGGGGGGAACATCTTCCATGATCTCTGGAAGGCGGGGGGGTGGGGGGGGGTGGTGGGGTGGTCAGGATACGAGGGGGAGTCCCGTGAGACAGGGATGATGGAGGGCCGTGGGGTCGGGTGGTGAGGGGGGGGGGGGGGGGGGGGGGGAGGGAGAGGTCATGCGGAGGGAAGCAAGGAAGGGAGTAGATGAAGAAGAGGAAGGAAAGGAAGGAGAGGAAAGAGAGGAAGGCCAAAAAGGCGCAATTCAAAGCCTCCGCCATCGGTCTATGCTCCATCGCTCCGCTCCTTGCTATGCTCGTCGCCCAACTAATGACTAAGCCACCCTCCAGCGCCCAGCACAAAGAAAAGGCAGCAGCAGCTGGCGAGGAAGAGGGTCGCGAAGCAAATGGTGCAGCCGACCAAAAAAGCAAAGCGTCTTGTCGATAGGTGGAGAAAAATTCTCTCAGAGAGGCACGCAACAAGCAGCACGCAGGCTATGGCGAGATTGGGAAGTAAGGCAAGGAGGAGGAGGAGCAGGAACGCGACGTTTCTTGCTGGCACGGGGGGGAAAAGGGCAGGCGGGACAGACCAGGTTCGGCAGGGCAGGTAGAGGCAGTATGCATGACGCTCGGCTCCGGACTGCTGAGGTACTGGGATATGAAAGCAGAGCCGGGAGGGTGCCGTTTGCCAGGAACGTTACCACTTCCTCCACCTCCTGCTGCTCCTCTTCCAAGTCCCAGTCGGCGAAGAAGTCCATGCCGCCCGCCGTTCTACTCAACCCTCCGTAGTCGCGGAAACCGGAAGCCTCGTTTGCTGTCAGAACCATTACCCGCACGGTGATCTGATGAATAGAACCCCCTGTGTTCTGTTCTGATATAGTCGCGATGTATGCTCAAGAATCGCAGCCTTCCGCTGCAAGCTATTGCTCTTATTCACCCATCTATACGCATCTATCCCACGGCCGAAAAAAGAACACACCAAGGACAAAAAAAAAGGGAAAAGAAAAGAAAAAAAGGGAAGAAAGAGAAGGAAACCAGAAAAAGGGAAAAAGGGAAAAAGGAAAAAAACGACAGGAGCGAGGAAAAGATCAGAAAAGAAAAGAAAAAAGTAGAAAGTAAACAGGAGCACAAAACTAAGACTAAACCACGGCCTACTCACGATACCACGCGCCTACATATCACCCCAGTCCCCGACCTTATTCGTCACGACCCGAGAGCGGGCTGCGTTCGTAATCCTCAGTTAGCCAGTTCTCATTGCCCGGGGGCTCATTCATGAAGCCGGGTCTGTGCTATTCTTACCACCCTATGGTCCACAAACAAGAAAACGGAGAAAAGAAAAAAGAGCAAAAAAGGGAAAAAAAGGGGAAAAAAGGAAGAAAAAAGAAAAAAGAAAAAACTTCAAAAAAGAAAAAAGAAAAAAGAAAAAAGAAAAAAGAAAAAAGAAAAAAGAAGAAAAAGAAAAAA